ACTGAGCACGGGCAGGACAGCTGTTTGGCAGCCCCCTCCCCTCTACGTCTCTGTCCTTCTTCTAGTACCCGCTGTCCCATCCCATTCCTTTCCCTCTGCTCACCCACTGGGTGTATTTAGGATCAGTTTTTGGTCTCACCCTGCCACTTCCTGCCTTGTGGGCTTTGAGGAGGTTGCTAAGCATCTCCAAGCAGTAGATTGGGATGACTGGCAGCTTCCAGAGGGTCTCAGGGATAACAAAATTGGGAACACATATTGGGAATGTCTGCTGAGTCTCTACTGGAAAGTAAGGCTTACCTAACTGTGCCCATGAATGAAGAAGAAGCCACCGCCACCCATGCCCTCCCTCGCAGCAGACTTCCATGGGGTAAAGTACTGTGTGCACAGTACTCAACGAAGAGAGGGTGCTGGAGGGCCATTTGATTTCCCTGCAGCTTGGAGCCTGTGTAGGAGGCGTCCCCGGGGCCTACTGCCACCTCGTTTGCTGGAGCTGAGCGCTGGGCTGGCTGCTCTGGCTGGGCTGTCCCCTCAGTATCGCCAGTGGTCCTGGCTTCACTGCCCACCCTCTGGTGACCTCTGCTTCTCTTTTTCCCACCTCTTAGGAGGCCAGGACTGTAATTGTTCTTTGGCTTTCTTGCAACTTTACCATGATGCAAAGGCCCAGGACCAGACCTACGCTGCCTCCACCATTGTCCACTCCACATCACGTGATGCTTGCATTTCAGATCTAGCTTATTTCTGTTTTTTAAACGTATGGTTCGTCTCCAGCACACACTCCCCACGATAGTGGCTGTCCCCACCTCCAGGCCCCTAGAAGATAATAGAGACCACATCTGCGTTATCAGTGCTATAATGGTGCTTGGGAAATTTTCAGACACTTAATAAGTGGGCACACCTGCACCCACATACGTGTGTCACGGCCTATAATGTTCCTGTGAGACAGACTTAGGTAGTGGTTTTATAATCTTCCCAGAAAGTACATCGGGCCCTTTGGAGATGAGAAGAGCAGACGTCAGAATGGTTAGATTTGTTTTCTGTCTCAGAATTTAACCCAAGTGGCAGGGCCCACGTCCTGACAGTGTTTGTGTTCATTATGTCCACACATTTAGGACCGAGGACAGCAGGCCAGTGGCAGGCAGCTTCTGCATAGCTTGAATCCACGTTGCTTCGTTTGTACACATCGTGGAAACGGTCCTCGGGAGGCCTTAGAATTCTGCTCACACATAGTATTGAGATTTCATGTGACTTTTTATTTTTGGCCACAAAAAGGGACGTAATCCACGCCGCCGTTAACGCTCCTGCCGGGGCCGCTTGTGCTATCCATCTCGAAAAATATAAGACAAGGCCAGAGCTTAAATTAAAATCCTTAGCCTCTTATCTCCTTCCCACAGGAAAGCAAATCTGTGTTGAAAACCGTAAAATTAAGAGGAGAGCAAGGATAGCATAATTTAGCAAAAATTCATGGCACCAGAGCCTGAGCTGTATGGCTGGAGGGACAGGTCAGACATTAAGGAACGCCGCCTGCCAATGTGAGTTCCTAAGGGTGGTGCTCCGGAGACAAGAAAGGCATGCAAAATAGAGAGATCCTTCCCGAAGATCTCTGCAGCGCGGGCGATAACAACCCTAAGAAAATATCTTTGTTGATTAGTTGGCAATTACACTTCTTTTGAGACTTTGCATCTGAGAGTCAGAGCAGTTATTCCAAACTAGAGTCGAAATGTGTTCGTTTTCAAGTTTGGGAAGCCAAGAGGTTTTTTTGTTACACTACTTTAAAAAATAGTTTGGTTTTTGTCCCTACCCAGCCCGCCTTCTCTAGCACTCTGAATCCCTTGTATTTCAGAGGCCCCTCTTACATATTTAGTAAGTAACATCATTAACACTTGAGCAGTATTAAAGTCTTTTTAAGCCTTTTGCACATTTATATGCATAGATGTTTGTGTTAATATATGTAGAGAAAAATTGTGTGGCCTTGATAATGGGGCTCTATTTAATAAATGCCAAGGGCTAGATGAGCCATGAGAAGGTGGCCATTAGAGAGGACCTGGTAATTATCAAGCAGAAGCATAATTGCCAACAATCTACAAAGATACTTTTCTTAAGGGTTGTTATAGTAAGCACTGTAGAAATCCTATCATTGTCCAAAAAAAGTGTGACTTTTTGCCTTTACTGTTCTTGGCCACGTGAGTTTCTCTTGGGTGGTGGTTGTAATGACAGTGTAAAGAGCATGAAGCATCACCAGGCTTTTTGTTGGCAATTTTGCGTTGAATCAGATACTTCTGGTGCTTAATTGGTAAAAAGGCATCAAAGTGTGTACCCTAAGTGTAGCCCCATATGAAAGTGTGTTGTGGAGTCCCTCGACCATAGGGATGTGGGATTGAACAGTTCACATCGGGACACACGTCAGCCCACTTCCTCGATTTCTCCTTAATATGATTACTTACGTCTTGAGAAACTCATTTTACATTAATCTTAGCCTGGCATAGCACAGTAAAATGTCACCAGTTCAAACTAATTACGGTGCAGGCATGCCTGAGCTAGTGAGTTCGTTATGCTCTGCTCCTCTGAACCCTTGAGTTGCTCATCGTGTACAGTTTCTAGCCACACATCCTCCTGGGGATGCTTTAATTAGTAGATGGTTAAAAATCAGAGCTACCCTTTACATGTGTGTGATTGTGTTACAGCCCCTTTCTTTAGGGGAACGGGGAGGTGGTTTTTTTTGTTTTTTTCCGTTTGTTTTTACTTTCATTGTTGTTATTTGTGAATAAAATTGTATGTGCTTACCATGTGTAACATGGTTTGAAGTGGAATGGTTAAATCCAGTTAATTAACATGAATTACTTTATGAAGGTTAACTCACCAGGCTTTCAAGAAGACAGTGTATTAGGGAAGGGACATGGTGACACATACTGCTAAGTCTGACACTGGGGAGCCTGATGCAAGAGACTCCACATAGTCAGTCCTTCCTTCCTTCCTCTGTCTGTCCTCCCCTTCTTTCTCTTGGGCGCGCGCGCGCGCGCGCGCGCGCACACACACACACACACATACACACACACACACACACACGCACGACACACGCACAAATACATTATATTATTAACTAGCTAAAGTTTCTTTTAAAATGGTCGTCCTAATGTTCAGCCTGTTTGAAGTCATTACCCTACTGATTTATTTAGTAAGCACTTTCTTGAACACAGCAAACTTTGTTTTTGAGATGCATCTTGCTATGTAACCCTAGCTGACCTGGAAGTTGCTCTGTAGACCAGACTGACTTAAACTCACAGAGACCCACCTGCCTCTGCCTCCCCAAGGCTGGCATAAAAGACATGACCCACGACACTTGGCTTGGGGGGAAGGATGACTTTTAAGTTTGCCACAATCAAAATGATCACAGATTTTATAAATGCCATGCAAATCTGAATTTTTTTTAAAAAAATGTGCTGTTATATTGTTTGTGGCTTCCAAAGTCAATAAAATTTGTTTGTAAGTTGGATCTGGTGATGTAAACTACCTGGGAGACTGAAACAAGAAGATTGTCATGAGTTCAAACCCAGACAGGGCAACTTTCTGAAGCCCTGTCTCAGAATTTAAACAGCTGTTGGCCAGCATGTGCAAAGCCCTAGTTGGATCCCCAGTACAAAAGAACAAAGTTTCCTTGTAGAACACACACACACACACACACACACACACACACACACACACACACACAGTACGCACAGTATAGTTGGTTTGTCTGTGTGTCTGTGCGGGTATACTTGCCTCCACAGGCACACACTGGGTCAATGTTGGGGGGTCTTCTGTCACTCCCAGTCTCATCTTGGAGACAAAGCTTTTCCGTGAACATGGAGCTCATCATTTTGGCTGGACTGGCAGGCTAGCAGCCCTACGATCTGGTTGTCTCCTTTCCCCCAATGCCAGAATTGCAGGCGCGCTCCACCACACCAGGGTTTTTATGACGAACCAAGGAGGAGGTCATGCTTACCCAGCAAGCAGCTTGGCCCACTGAGCCGTCTCCCCAGCCCTGCCGTTGTTCATTTGTTTGTTTTTAAAATGAGGTCTTTTCTGTAGCCCAGGCTAGCCTCCTACACTTCTTCCTTCTTTTTGAGTGCTAAGGTTACAGGCCCGAGCCATACTGCCCTGCTGAAATATGTGAAAATGTGCAATGTTAGCAATTTAAAGTGTTCTTTCAAACTGGTTTTTTTTTTTTTTTTTT